TTCCAGGGTTGAGTCAGTCTCTGGTGGTACCTGAATAAGGAGTGAGGGTCATGATGTCACAATCCATCCCCTGGGGATGTTACAATTTGGTAACATCACCCTCTTCCACCCAGTGGTGTCATAATTGAATGTGACAATTGGAAATATATAAAATAAAGACACAATATGTAATATAAGACACAAGGTCACAATCCATCCCCTGGTGATGTCACAAAGGACACCAAGGCCTTGTCTGTGACTTCAGCCCCCTCAGATGGCCTTGCCCTTTGCTTTCTCCAGTACAGACTTCTACCAAAATAAATACCTCAGTCCTAATCACTTTTTCCCCATTGCTTCCACCTTGTCTGCATCTGGCCCCAGGTTTTGGATTTTGAACAGCATTACAAAGGCAATGTCAAACTTGCAGTTGCAGCTATAGCTATGCTGGTGCTCTGCTCTTGCAAGACTCCCTTTACGAACATGTTTCTAGTGCTACCTTCCAGGTTGTTTGTGCATGTTGGCCATCACTAGGGACACTCTAAGGGGTTGTGAAATCCAGCCATTCCTCACAGTGCCATTTGAAACTTTTCCTGACTTTCTGAACCACCCTGTACTGCATTTCTAATGTTCAGCAATGGACCTGTCTGCTACTATGAATAAATTAACACAAGTCTGGTGGTTTGACATTAAGTGATGGTGCTGTCCTTAATATTCTGGTTACAAAATCCCTAAATGTTCTAAAACAGGTAGCAGTGAAAAAAAAAATGCAGGTATAAATTTCAAATTCTGATGGTTTGTTTGTGATTGAATGGCACAAGTTCACAAAATGTTTTTATAGACATCACAGCAGCAGAGGTTTTTAAGAGAGGATCACGCCCTTTTAATTCTTCCCTTACAGGGGAATGACATTCAGGTTGATATACTGTCTGGTGGAGAACTTACTTCTATTAGTGGCTCAGAAAACCAGAGCATAGTAAGACTTGTATTGCTGCACATGAAGCTAGGCAGCAGGAAGAAGGTTCTTATATGAGCACATCCTTAAATTTTTCATTAAGACTTGAAACGATTGGAAAGAAAAAAGAAAGAAAAAAATTTAGGCTTCTTACTTTGGAAGAAATACTCTTTCATGATTCGTGTTTGTAACATTTATAAAGAGAAGCACAGCGACTGTATCAAGTAAAGGACATACGGTTTAATCACTTCTAGTTTTCATGGCATGATTGAGTTCTGAATTACATTCATTTTCCTTGCATTTGCAGGCTGAAACAGATGGTGAGGGCTCAGTTATAGGAAACGTGCCCATGACTATAACTTTCTTTGTGCCAGGATGCAGGTTCACTGTCTGAACTGTGCTGGCAGAATCCAAAGCACTATAGGTTCTACTTGGAGCTCAGATGGACGTGAGAATGACTGAAGAATGGGTGACTTGGCTGAGTTGTATCTGCCACACTTTAAAGTAGGCCTTAAGGTTGGGTTAATAGGGCTGCTGGCTTTGTACTCAGGAGCTTGGATTCTGGTCCAAGCTGTTCTTGTTTCCATTTCCCATCTTCATGCAAGTATTTGTCTTGCTTGCAGAGTTCTTCCAGTCATTTAGGCGAGTAGAATGAATGTGATTGCTGTAGTTCTGGAGCTCAGTCTCTGTTTTTCTCCATGCATATCTTCTAAACAGATACATATAAAATGTGAAGAATGAAGTGACAGGATAGAAGCCAGATGCTGATTTGTGCATTTGAAATGGGATTAATGAGTGATCAGCCTTGATAGTGATGCTTAAAAGAGAACTCAGGGAGAAAAAAAACTCTGAGGCAACTTAATTTTGGAGATAAGGTGAGGGAAGGTTTGATGATGCCTCTAAGGCAATGGGGTTGCAAGACGTGCACAGCTCCCCGATCCAGTGTTACAATTTTGTGATGCAGTCTGTCCAATTCCTGATTTTATCCACCCCCTGACCTTTACTCCAGTCCACCCCCAACCTGCCCCTTGGGAATTGGGTCTAGGGTCATCCTGGGCCCCTTTTCTTCATCATCTTGGTTTTCTTTGGAGTACAGAGTGCACACGGTCACCCAGTTCTTGGTCATATCTTGTGGTTCAGGCTAGGGAACAAATGTTCTTAAACAGTAGAAGGCCTACCTAGGAGAAAGACTAAACATGCTTAAATGGAATTTAAGGGGAGGGATTGATATGGGGTAAGAGGATTGGGGAATCTGTGTAGCTACTGTGCTAAAGGGTGAGGGAATGAATGCAGCTGCTTCTAAAAATCTACATTTGCTATGTAACTGCTTCTAAAACTTATAAAAATTAGAAAAATCAAAAATCAAAACCCCTAAGGCAACAATAGGAAGCTTGGACTATAAATCAGTTTACGAAATAATAATGCGAGAACATCCTTAATGAACAGATGAAGTATTCTACAACATTCTAATCTGCATACCTTTCTTCTCTATAAAATTTTCTTGACAAAGACACGTTCAGTGGCACAGAAAATGTAATGCTCATATATGACAGTCATTGGCAAACCTCACAGATAATAGAAAGCAGTTAAAGTCAGAGTTCTACCCCACCAGAACTCTTCTGCATAGATGTGAGTTGATGGAACTTTTCCTGCCAAGGAACGCACAAAGGTGTACACAGTTGGATTCTGTCTTACAGCTGAGGCCCGTAGTCTCTTGAGAGGTCATTATGATCTTTGTGCTTGTCACTCATTCAAACAATATATTAAAATGGAAATTAACTATTGCTAATTGTTCAAGAACTAGCAATCAAGCCATGAACATAATTTATTGCACATTCTGTTGAATCTAGTGTGCTCACTAGGGTCATCTCCTTGTGCCCTTATATGACCCTAGAGAGCAGCACATAGATGAATGTCCAGCCGGGACGTGTGAGCCCATGGGAGGAGAGTGTTCAGCACAGCTTTATGGGACTAGTAATCATATCCACAAACAAGAACTCCTCTTTCTGCCCCATGTCCCAAAGGAGGCAGCCAAGTCTGTGATTATGTTTGTGCTCTTCTCACCAGAGCGACTGAGGAGAAATTTATTAATAAGCCAATTTTAACTTAGTTGTCTGTCCCTTCTATTGAATGCTTAATGAAAGATTTATCCCTTGAGGTAGCTTTCTCTCTGCTTTGCAGGAAAATTTGTGTGACAATATTACAGTGTGCAAATCTTAGTCCTGTGCAGGGTTCAGATGGATAACAGCACTCTGACATGCATCTGCAGTTGAATGTCTTTTGAATCAAGTCCTCCATGATTTATTTTTGGCCAAAGGACATTTCATCTCCAGATCAACACATTGGAGAAAGAGATCTTCAACAAGACAGGGAGTGTCAGAATCTGATCTTTTTTATTACTCTGGTTTCAACACTAACTTAATTCTTGTAGGCAGCTACCAGAACAGGAACATGTGCTTGTAGAAAGATATGGTAAACACATCAGTATATTAGTAAACACATCAGTTTTCAGTTATTCACACAACCACTTCTGAAAACCTCTTGAAGCAATTAAATATTTGTAAATACAAGGCTGAGCAGACACAGGATGTTGCTGTTAGCAGAATGCTGTTCACTTCAATAGCATTGGATCCAGTCTCAAAACAAGTGCATACAAGTTTGATTTATAGTTTGGGCAATCTGAACTGATCCATATGACACCACGCAAGCAGCTGACATCTTTAGCAGCAGCATGTGGTTTGAGCAGGTCTATTGTTAGAGATTTTCAGCCTGGCTCATCTGTTTTCCACAGGGGTGAAATAAATACATGATGCTCTGTGAGAAGGAATAAAAGGCAACCCACCACGGCAAAATATCCTTGTGCTTGCTGTGACAGGGGATTCAGCATTAAAGTACTTCAGGGTTTGTGAGGAAGGGTTTGCATGGTTTAAGAGGACACAAAGTGCTATAGAAATGATTGTAAATGAGGGTGGAAATTATGCACCCCTTCCTCATACTGAGGGGGTAGTTATTTCACCACTGCATATGGCACCAGTGGCAGTTTGAGCAGCAGACTTACCAGGGAGGAGGATGATGTAGGGCTAGACCTCTGCTGATTTGCATAATTGAAAAGGCAGTGGTGCCTGAGACTGGAAATCCACTCATTCCTACAGCCAGTCTCTGTAGGCTTGGATTTTGTGGCACATGGGTTGTTCAGGTCCTTTTAGAGGTTATTTTTTACCTATGAAAAGGAGATAATGAGTCATAAGGGCTTTCAGTTTGATATATTTTTCACACTTTGAATTCAGTATTACAGGAAATAGGGAACAGTGTCATTCTTCTCGTACAATATGGAGATTCAGCTCATTTCTTTGAGTCAGGAGTCAGTTTTTAAGACGTAATGTTAGAAATGGTTTGGTTTGTTGTTTTTTTTTTTCCCCTGACTCTATAGCTAATACAAAAATATGGACTGATTAATAATGAATATTGGCTACTTTCTTGGTGGTTTAGACAGGTAACAACTGATTTATCTGGTGCTTGGTGCATATGAGAAAATGTGTTTAATATGTTCACTTACAAATTTTAATGTAATTAAAATTTGAGGAGAAATTTTCCAAAACCAAAGATACATAGTTCCCACAAGTAGTTAGAGAGGTATTTCTATTAACCGAATACTCATTAATTGGTCTCACTTGGTGCAATGAAGTCCCAAATACACAAGTAACTTTACAGTTTCTACCTGTATTTATACTTTTATATATAGGTCAAGACAGGTTAAGAGAAATCCAAAGCAAGACTTACTCAATAACATTTCTTCTGTGAAATGGAGAGGAAAAAAATGTTTTCTTTCTGAAACTGTTTTTCTTACTCAAGGACTGTTGGTCCTGGACTAAATTTTAATCTTGTTTCTAGCTCAGAAAAATAGAAAGTTCAACTCTTGCATCAGGATTCAAGGGGGCTAGTGGTTCCTGTTGTAAAGTGTAAAAACGTGCAGCCTAGTGAATATATTTTTGTCATACAGGTAACAGGGCACAAGCTTTGTGCTAAGCTAGAAATGCAGACCCTTGGATTCCTCGGGTTTTCTCTTGACATTTGTCACCTCTCTGGTGCTTTCTTTCAGTCTGTTTGGTTGAAACAGAAATTGATGAATGATCAGTTGACTATTGCCTAATTTGGTTTAGCTTTTGCTCAGCTGTGCAAAGTTGTGTAGCGTAAATCCTGCTGGTATCTATCTCTGCATTGATGGATAATACAACAGGTTGCCATCATTTCCGCTATGTGGTAATAGTGTAGCAGCTAGGTTAACCTTATCCATTGATTAGACTGCAATCTTTAATTAGTGGAACAATTAATTATTGACTTCGCATATTAAGTGTTTGTTTCCTTGGCTCACATGAAGTGCAAAAATTGTACGGAAACAAAATTACTGGAAAATATCAACAATCTAAATTGTAATTTGGACACAGTAAATGGGTTTCAGGTGGAGTGGTGTTTGTCTGAATACATATGTCAGATGGTTTTATAAAGTTTGACAACTTAATTTATAGAGAATGCTCCTGAGGAATTTTCCCTTCAAGAATATGTCACCACGTAAATCATGCATCAGTTTTATCAGAAACAATGACAAGAGCAACAACAAAACCAACAAAATCTCCTCTCCCAGTTGTTGAAGACAAGGCTGTGGAAGAGAATGAAATGTCTCTCTCTGCTTGCAGGTACCTCTGATTCTAGAAAAGGGTTCACCAGTGGTGGTTGACCTTAGCTGGCTGCCAGTGGCCCACCAAGCTGCTCTCTCACTCCTCCTCTTCAGCAGGATCTGTGAGAAAATAAGATGAAAAAGTTGTACGTCAAGATAAAGACAGTTCAACTAAAAAATAAAATAAATAAATAAAGACTGTGCATAGAAACAAAGAGAGGGGGGAAAAAGAATTCTCAGTTTCTCATCAGCTGATGGTATTCAGTCAATTCCTGGGCCTCAATAAAGGTAGACGTTGCTTCAGAAAACAGATACCTTAAGAACAAATGTCCCATCTCCAAGGCCCTCAACATCTCTAGTGGGGTCTGTTCTTATAAGTGAATACACATCTAAAATGAATTGATGTACACAAGAAATGGAGTACAATTTACTATACTTATTTTTTTCCCCCCTGAAATCTTTTCACAGTAGGAGGAGAATTCAGTGGTGTGTAACAAAACTATTGGGAATTTTTTGAGCTCTGACCAACTACACTTGCAAGGCAGAATGAAAATGAATTTTGTGTTCCCCAGAGAAAACTGCTATACCAAACCTGAAATCACACTGTTCTTTTAAAAACCAAACTAATCAAAGGCTTACAATCATGTGCCCTGTGGGAGAACACCATAGAAAAGGCATAAAAGGGGCATTTTATATCACGAGAAAGAAGCAAAAGCAACAAGTCTAAACAATAAAACCAGAAGATTGAATTATTTGTGAGACGAGACTAGAGGAGGTAGCTCTTCTCAGCACCCCATTGACAGAAAGTCCCTGAACAAAACCTGATGATAGATAAAAAATGTGATGCTGCACTTTAATACCCATTGAGGGGAAATACTCAGTGCTATGGCTCTGTAACTTTGCCGTCCCATGACAATTCAATGCGATGCTGCTAAGGATGGGGTCATCTGCCAGTCAAGGCTCAGAGGTCTCAACAAAGGTCTCTAGAAAGAGAAGGTATAAAGAGATGCTGAGAATTCTTAGCATAATTAGGCAAAGAATTGTTTCAGGAATTTGTTTAAATTACAGCTTATTTTTTTTTAGACCAAGGAATTGGGAACAGCCTGGAACTATGTAAATAAACCCCTCCACATTGCACAGGTATATTTCAGTGAAGAGTAAATAGCTAAGCTTTGTGTCACTAGACAGCAGGCAAAGCATTTCACTTCTGGAAGAAGATGAATCTGAATACTCCAGGGAACCCGAAGGAACAGAAAAACTTCAGTCGAACAAACACACAGTTCATTTCATTGGCTGTCTAATTGAGCAAGGCAAAGGAGTTAGGCAAATGTAGTATCAGTTGACTCTGAGAAGTGGATCCAGCTGTAAACACAGAACTACTGTGGGCATTCTTATGCAGGATTTGGATTTTCTAAAAGGAATATTAATGTAAAACTTGGACAAAAAAATAAATAGGCCCAAACCCAGCAATGCCCTTAAAGCAGCACACATGTTGAAATAAAATGTGAGAATCTCAGATATTTAAAACTGTCTTTCAAGATAGTCTATCTATATTTATCGATGTGAAATTGCAGCTGGATCCCAATTAAAGTGAAAATCATATCTGTGGCTATTGCCTTCATGCTTTCATCTTGTCATCTCAGCGCTGATCCCAAAATAGGAATGACCAGTCCTGCTTTACCACACTTTTCCAACTTTTAAATAGGTCTCAGTAGTTGGTAAAAAAGATGATTTTGCTTCCTTTTTAAAACTTATTTTTGCTCCTAAAGCTGCCAATCCACAAACTCAATTTTCAATGTGAAAATCAGACCAGGTTAACTTTGTCTCTTGCAAAGGCAGCAATAAACAGCCCATGATCTGCACTCTGCTGCTGAATGTGTAAGTGACTGTGAGTGAAGACAGCATCCAGCTCCTATTACTGTGGGTGCAGTGGCACTGATGAGTTACTTGTAATTTATATCAGTCAGCAGAGGTAGCAGGTACAACTCTGTGTGCACACAGGAAGGATGGCTCCAGTCAGAGCAGGCCATTCTTTTCAAACAATTTTCAGTGTAAAGATAAAATTTATTATGCCCGCAGGAGGGAAGAGAAAAATGCTGTAGTGCTTCCACTGTTGTATAAAGCAAATGTGTGGCTGTGCTTTGATGTGGTGGTCTGGCTTTTAAATTAATCATGGAAAAAAAGAGATTGAGGAGATACTGAATGAAGCTGACAGAGAGGCAAATTAGACAGACAAAATTAGCTGCATTAAAAGATTTCCATCATGGAAACAGGATTTAAAAAGGTAGGAAAAGTGAAATTAAATGGTGAGATTCCAATAAGCACAAATTCTGCAGCCCGAATGTCACCATCTTTTGCTCTAAACATATAAAGACATTCTGGTTTTTTAAAATTTGATTTTTTTTTATTCCTACATGGAGAGAAAGAAATGTGAAATGTAAATAGGATGAGATATTTTATGTCTGTTTTATTTTTTATCTTGGATTTAATTTCGTGAGTAACATAATCGGAATTACTTGGCTTTCTACGAAATCATTGGGGTTTTTTTTCTTAGTGCTCTCTGTCAAAATTTCTCTACTAATAAAGTGTTGCATACTGCTCTGTGGATCTGTTTCAGCTGGCATTGATGAAGAGACATGGGTGTGCCCAGCTTGCTAAGACAGGATCAAAAATGGTTGATATATATAAATATATTCAATGAAAGTAAGATTGATTTAAATTGTGACAGTCCATGTTTTACTGACATCTGAAGAGCTGTAGAAATCACCAACAAACTTTATAAAGAGAGTCAACTTGATTAAATACTAACAAAGGACCGTACCTATGCACAGTACTAATTTCCTGTCTGATAAAAAATTAATACAATTGAAACTGTTTCAAGAACTGAACATAAATCTTGATTCGTCCATGAACCAGAAGGCAGGTCAGCTTCCTAACTTGGTGGTTTGCCTTAAACAATAACCTGTGTTCATCAACAGGTGTAGGATATCTCTTGTATCAGAAGTTATCCTAATTCCATATCAGCTGGAATTTGTTCCATACCTACAAACAGAAAAGTTACATCCCTTCCAAAGTATTCCTAATTTTGTTGTGTAACTTTGCATCTTCTCATTTTCTACCTTCTGTCAGAGGAAGAAGAACTAACCCAGAAAAGGGTAGATACTTTTTATGTATTTCAGAAGTGCGAGAGATCTGCGTTTATTCTGATTTCAGGTTAGTTCTGAAATTCGTAGTTTCTTTCTAACTAATAACATGTTATTATGTTAATTTGTAAGAAGCCTGACATTAAGGTTGCTGTCTGAATACTGCAGCACCCAAAAGATCCTGGATGTTTCCTTTAGGTTGAAATTTTGTTGAAATGTTTTGAAATTTGTATGTGCAGATTCCATGTCATTGCCACATCCTAAGAACACTGGGGAGAAAAGGAGAACAAAAGTGATATATCACTTTATTTCTCAGTGAAAAGCCTCTGAAATTAGGGGTAAATAATTTCTTCTTGTGCCCCATCTTTCATAAACCTCTTTTCTGATGTTCAAAGGTGGTAGTAAGAGACAGGGTTTTCCCTCAGCAGTTCACACTTGGTTTGGAGATCTTCTTTAACTCAGTAAATAATCCATGACACTCTGCTTTAAGAAATTCTTGCCTATGCTTTTGGAGTGTGCTTCCCACTTGTTGATCCTGAATGTTGGAAATCAAATTTACCTTTTTTTTCCCTCTCTTAATCTTCTTTTGAACCACGAAGTCTTTTGGCCAGGACTGTGCTTTACTCTTTGTTTGTATGGTGAAGTGGGAAGAAGTCATCTGGGCTTATAGGGACTAGAAGGCAGGTCACAGTCATGGTCAAAGTGACAGATTTCTGTGGCTTGACCCTTCTGCAGGACACAAGAGCATTTACCACATTACTCATGGCAAATCAGCAAGGCAATCTAGGGACTGCACTAATTCATGTCTAAACTGGTGTAATGAGAATAACATTAATAACCAGCACAAACTAGCATAGGATGTTAGTTTTGAGTATAAAACATCTTTACTTTGATATGTAGGTGCTCAATCAAACAATAACCATCCCAGGTAAAATACATGCTGTTCATAAATACTGCTACTGTCTGCGGTAAAACTGGATCCCAAGAAATTACAGGTCTCAGAAGACAAATCTGTGTCCCACAGCACCTGTGTGGTCTGGCAGTTAAGGAAGATGGGACCTCTGCTGTGAATGAAGGAGACAGAGCATGAAGATGGGAATAGTGGCCTCAGATAAGAGCTAAATTGCTGATTCTGTCATTTTATCCTCTTTCCCTTTTGCTGGTGGTGGATGTACTAAGAACAAATTCAGAGATAACCACCTCTCAAACACTCACAGGACAGAGTCTCAACACCGTTTCTGTAAAGCGCTGAATCTCTTCAAGAATTGATTTGTCTGACTCACACAAGCAGGAGTCTTAGAACAGGAATTCTACAGTAGGACCACAATAATCTCTTAGGGTGATATTTCACCTGTGGTTACAAAAGATGAGGGATTGAGGGATGAGAGATTGAGCAGCTTTCTCTCTGCCTTGGAGAAAACCAAGCTCTGATGAACCTTATCTAAGCATATGGTAAAATTTGTCCATCATTCCAGCTTCTGCATTTTCTTTCGGGACATATGAGACATATGTCTGGTACAGAAAAGTGATCCTTGTGATAATCAAGAATGAACATAAGATTGTCATGGGAGTTACCCTGAGATGTAACATAGTGCTTAGATTGAAATACTTTACCAGTATACCTGCTGAGGAAGAGCAGTTTTCTTCATTTTCCTGGTTTCCATCCTAGGAAACATCTATAAAACATATCTGCACTCCCATGTGTTAGCAAAAGACAGGTCCTACAGAATTAGATAAGAAAACGTTCCTTAGATTTAAGGCCCATAGTAGGAAACATGAAAATGTGTGGCAAGCTCTGAATGAAATTGAGCCTGGCAAAAGGAATTAAACTGAGTGTGATTGCTGATAATTCTCACACAGTTTATCATCCAGGTGGGAGGGTGATAGTGACAGGGTGTCCCCAGGAGCACTGCTCATCCAACTCCTCTCTGGCACCCAATGGTTTAAGTATGTACTCATTTTACACATGGTGATAGATCAGTGAGACCACCTTAAACCTTTCCTTAGAACCATGTATATGATGTTAGCTGGGTAATCACTTGTTGTTTTCTCCATCCCATCCTCATAAAACTGTTGAATAGTATGCATTCCACAAGTTCCAAATGTGTTTTAAAAACCCCCAAACACTCATATTTTAATCCCTCATATTTCAGGCTTTCATATATGAGGAAAATGTACTCAGAGATTGGAATGGTCCTCTGGGTTTCTTGGGTTTCTGAAAAGCTTTGAAATAAGACAGATATCACTGAAGAAGAGCTTGTTACCCTTCTGAAGATGCCTGTGGAGGTTGTAGTTGTTAATACAGACTGACTCTACCTGTTGATATGGTAACCAGAATATTCAACTTTTTTCCTTTTCAAAGGAAAGCCAGATTTCTTCCACAGCAACTGTCAATCTTTGATTTATTGCGACATTCTGAGATGTGCAAAAGATTTGCTTTTTTCCAAAATGTGATTATGTTTCTTCTCTCTAGTTGGTCTAAGCAAGACATTACTCACACCCTTAGAAAATCATGGCCAGGCAACACAGTTGTTAAAGGATAAAAATGTTATTAGGGAAGAAACTTCACTACTGTTGTCGTTTTGGACCCTATTCAGCATTTGTTGCTTTTTCAAAACTCTTGTTGGGATTCGCAAAAAGATAAGTGTATAAATGTACAAGTATCATGACAATAAAATTAGTACTGCCATTGCTCTGAGTCAATAACTTTTAAAAATTGCTTTCAATATCTCTTCTGATACTGTATGGCAGCCAGAAATTCCAATGTTTTCAATGTCACATCAAACACTCGGTGTCTTTGGTCCTGGGTCTAGCTGTTAATACCATGAATACCATGAGCAAGGAAGATGCATCTCCTTCAAACTTGATGATAGCTTCAGATATCAGTAATTAAAACAGATGTTCAGATAGCACTTTTCTTGGTAACATCCACCACAGTTAAGAACCTGCTGGGAATGCATTTGTCACATTGACGTTCACAGTCACTAAATTGCAACTTACTAAAATATTTCCTTATATGGCAGGATTTCCACCTGAGGTTGCATCCCTTTTCGAAGAATGATGTGATTTGAAAGCAGTTTTCTGGAATACTTACGCTCTGCAATTTTTTTATAATAGGTTTAGTTTTGTCAGAAATCTGATTAAATCAGATGGGAAGAGAGGAAAACAGAAAGCAAACACGCTTTAAGGCACTTTCTTTACTTATCCCTTAGGAAAGGACAACAGGGACATGACAGATCAGGTACTAAGACATTGTTCAAATGCAGCACCTGGGGTGTTCGGAAATGTCAAGCCTCACAAAAGACTCAGACCTTCCTTTCCTAACTTTTTATTCTAAATGGAGTGAAGCTTCTTGATTGAAGCATAATCCCTCACCATAGTTGGGAATCCATATGTTTTGCCCCTTTCTAGATGAGGCTATATCAGGGTAATGTCTCAAAATGTCCTGTGTTGCAGCTTTTGTGTAACACTTTTAACTCATTCCGTAAATAGACACATTTTCTATCCCAGAAGACAAATCAAGGTCTGTATCTGTGACTACTATAACTGTCCACTGAGGACCTAGACTTCCTGAAGAGTGCTTTAAGCTTGTGAAATCATTTTCTGAGGACATTGTGTTTGTTTCTTATTCCATTCCTACCATTTTATAAGGTTTTGTTCTTCATCAACTCATGAACTTCATGAACTGGAAATAGATATGTGGTTCTCATGAGTGTGCCCCAGAGAGGGGCAATAATGCACAATAATGTTTTGACTGAAGCCTTAGAGTGAAACCTGTGAAACCATGAGATACTATTAGTATAGTACTATATGTTATGTCTATAATTAATATAGTATCATACTACCTTTTTGGTTATGTTGTATTTATATTAAGAATGTGTATTTTACATAAATACTACTCATTACTTATTTTATGGAGACATTACTTAATACATGCTATAACTGTAGTATTACAGTGCCCCAAAAAGATGAAAACACAAAGACTAATACCTGAGTAACTCAAGCTCTTACAGTAATCCACAGATCTACAGGAAATCTGAAGCTCAGAACAACATGTGCCCAAGTTTTGCCCTTTGTCTGGATGTTTTCCAAGTGGAGTCTGGGTAATGGGAGGGCTGTCTGGGACCAGTGGTTCTTGCTGCTTGAGCAGCACTGTTTGGCAAAGCAGGCATGTTCCTGTAGCATCCCAGGGGAATGGTACTCTACATTGTGAGAGGTGAATCTTGGCTCTTTGAGTTAAGGAAGGAGGCTTCTTCAAAAGAATAGAGATATGGAACTTAACATCAAAACTTCTGGTTTTATAATCAAGATTATGGCCCTGATTTTCAAAGCCACCTGTCTTTCAATAATTCTTATAGACTGCAGTTAGAATCTCTATAGATTCTAATTCATTCTAGTGAGACACTGGTTTTTAAAAACAAGTAATATACTATGTGTAGGGCAGTCACATCACAAATAACTGGATCCCTGTTTTTTTATTAATATTTTTTTCTCAAAACTGATACAGAATTTAAACATAGAATCATAGATTCAATAAGGTTAGAAAAAACCTCCAAGATCATCTAGTCCAAACTTTGACAGAGCACAACCTTGTCAACTAAACCACAACACCTAGTGCTACATCTAGTCAATTCTTTAGCACCTCCATGGATGGTGACTCCACCACATCCAACAAGGATGTAACCCTAAAATAACAGTAGCCTCCACCATCCCCTTTCTCCCTCTTCATTTTTAAAAGCTGGTTTTGATATCAACTATGCATCTGATTTGATGAGGTTGAATATGTATCTCTCTGTGAGTTGTTAAGTACATGTGAATTTGATTTGGATATTGAAAGGCAGAGTTGACCATTTCAGGTCTCTTCCAGTTCTGTTTTAAGCAATTTTGGAAGACAGAGAATGGATTGGATCTCTTTGGAAACAGCAGAAAATATGTACTAAGGCACAAGACTGGCTTTATGGGATGGTGAAACAGGAAGAGGTAAACATTAATAGCTATAATGGCAACCATGAAAATAATAATAACACTAACCAGTTCTTTTGCTTTTTAATTGATATTAATTACCTGAAGAAACCATAGAACAAATTGTTGATTTATATATATTTCTCAAAACAAATTGCGAAAATTAACTAACTTCCAAATAAAGACTTTCAGATGATTAAGTGGCACTAGGCTCCTGCTCTATCTTATATAGAAGAAGTTTTTATGACCAGAATATCTTGGATTCCATAAAAGGAAAATAAGTGAAATGAAGGTATTTTTAATTCCAGGAAGTACAAGCCTAAAAGAAGGATGATATTTTTCAAATCTTTCTCCTTTTTTTCCCTTGAGTTTGAGTGAATATTTGATACTGTAGAGCAGCAGGCACTTGATACTGTGATTCTGGCAGGCGCTTGACAACATGCCTAATTTTAAGCTACGCATTTACTAAATAAAGAACCAGCTAAGGCTTGTGGGATCCTCATTCAACATTAAGCTTGATTCAGTACTCTTTGTGCATTGCAACTCAGGAAAAATGAGCTAACCTACCTCTGATTCCTAATGGTGATTTCAGTTAAGCAAGTATGTGGGTGCTTCAGGGACTGTTCCTATTTCTTTCTATTTCTGTTTCATTAATGCTGTGATTAAAATAAGCATATAATGGGTATAAAGTGTGCCCAGACTATTTCTGCATTCAGGAACATTTGTCCCCCAACTTCCCTTCATTTGAGGATGTGCTTATTAGGGTTTTCTCTTTCCCTGTCAGTAAGGTATAATTTCAGTAATGTACTAGTATCTGAACTAAGTCTTCCATCTATTGTAAGTACTATTGATAAACAATTAATAATAATAAAAAAGTGAGACTATCTTACACTTTTTCTATGATGTGTGAGATCTTTCTCTGAGTTTAAAGGCAAACTCCAGATTTGCCCGTATACCAGTGCAGCCAGTTTTCTCTTGTTCAGTGTAAAACTGATTGTAATAGCAAATATGTGTGGAAAGAAAACTATCTCAGTAGCAGAGGGGATGGGAAAAAGCCAAAGATATTTGTGCTTACTGACCTGCAACAGAAATTTTAATTTCAGAACTGTAGGGATGTGAAATGTCACCTTTTATGTACAATGAATAAAGGTCATCCTGCTGGTGCAGATTTTTGCCTTTGTTGGACCAGAAAAAGACTTCACACATCAGAAAACCCCCAGAGCTTTGTTCTTCTGCACATCGTCATATGGTTTAGAAGATGATATTGCTTTTCACAAAGATGGTCAGAGGGCCAGAGCTCCTCTGCTCTGGAGACAGGTTGAGAGAGACAGCCTTGTTCAACCTGGAACAGAAAAGGCTCTGGGGAGACCGTAGAACCCCTTCCAGTGCCTAAAGGGGCTCCAAGAAAGCTGGAGAGGGACTTTCGAGAAAGGCGTGGAGTGACAGGACAAGGGAGAATGTCTTCAAACTGACAGAGGGCAGGGTTAGATGGGATATTGGGAAAAAATTCTTGACTGTGAGGGTGGTGAGGCCCTGGCACAGGTTGCCCAGAGAAGCTGTGGCTGCCTCATTACTAGAGGTGTTCAAGGCCAGGTTGGATAGGACTTTGAGCAACTTGGTCTTGTGGAAAATGTCCCTGCTCACGGCAGGGGGGTTATACTACATGACCTTTAAGGCACCTTCCGACCCAAACCATTCTATGATTCTTAGATAATTCTATGATTATTGCATTTGACTGCTCTTTTTCTTCTAGCTCTCTACAAGTCTATAATTTTGTGAACAAAACCAACCCTTTCTCACCCCAGGGGGATTCAGCTGCCTGAGCCCAGCTCTCAACCGATTCCAAGCACTGGAAGAAAATGTTCTCTGAATTTGAACCTGAAATGTAGGCAAATGGCTGTTGCAGCTGGAGTGGGAGCTTCAGACAAAGTTTACCAGGAAAGTCCTCCCATTGAGTCACGGGGTGCAGAAAGGACCCCCTAGCTTTCTAAACTCCTTCTCAGAAAGGAGTCTGGGTGCAGCTGGATTCAATCTTAGCAGCAGACTTAGGGAACAGTTTATGTTTAAAGGATTACACAGGTGTAATTTAGTCTTTACATGACTTTGTCCTGCAGGATTAAGGATGGCAAACCAAATATATTTATATAAGTAAATTATTTATTTAAGTTCATTATGATAATGATTAGACTAAAATATCAGTCAGAATTATTTGCTTCACAGTATAGGTAGCTACAACTACTAGTATAATGCACTATCTTTGAAGCAGTGTTGAGGCAATTATATTAAAGCTAGCAAAAAAAC